AATTCACTGGCAAGAAAAAGAATGTAGATAAAGAAAGATCTCCCTGTTTACCATAATTAATTTTTTTAATTGTTGAAAGTATTACATATGATAAAAAATCAATAAAATATGTAAAATAAATAAATAAATAAATAGATACAAAAAAAAAGGACCAACAATGCTATTAAAATAACTATTACTTCCCTTAAGAGATGCAAAATATTTATGATGTATCCGCAAATTATTGCATGGTCTCTAAGAAGGAAAAGGAGCCAGACAAAATAGCAGAACAAACCCACTGAGTTCCATTAATAAAAAATGCAGTAACAACAACAACAACAACAAAGAAAGTATTACATATGTCCCCCCCAAACCTTCTCCAGCCCTCCCCCCCAACCCCCCCCCCACCCCAGGCTCTCACCATCTAATTGCCCATGCCCATGGTCTGTGCATATACACACAGTTCAAAGTGATACCTCATTGTCGTTTTAATTTGCACCTCCCTGTGTTTGTCATAATTTCCAAGTGGGAAAATGGAGATAGAAGAGTTCATATATTAAGGATCTAGGGTTATACCCAAGTGGAGGGCATCCATCTAAATTCTTTCTCCCCCCTGCCTTTTGGCCCTTAGTCTCTCCTCCACCCCGCCTCCCGATCTGTGGCATGACAGAAGCTTGTCGCCTCTTTTCCAGGCCAGAGAGCAAGCAGGTGCCTGGAGAAGGCTGCTCACCTGTGGATTCCCACCCGATGCTGCTCTGTCGTCTCTCCAGCAGTGTCCCAAGGGAAGGGACACCACATCTACTCCAAAGGCGCCACGGCCGCTTTTACAGGACCTGCTTCTGAGGTGTGCTGACTGCAAAGCATTTAACAGAAGTTTAAAAGAGCTGAAATTCCTACTCACCAGAGGCAACTCCAACATTTTGGCATATTTCCTTCTGGTGTTTTATTCATTTTGTTCTTTCATAACCGAGCTCTTTATTGTGCATGCAACTGTTTTTGCTTAGCATTATGGCATATATACTTGTCCATGTCACTTCGTTTTTATGGCTACGAAATTATCTGTAGAGTAGCTGCACTATGATGTACTCAAGTTATTTTCTGATTTTTTGCAATTAGAAATAACACTGATAAACAGCATTGTGCATAAATCGCTGCCCTTCTTTTGGGTGATTTACTAAAAGAGTAATTGGTGAATTAAAAGGTATTCATGTCTTTTTTTTTCTTATTTGGATATATATGGGGTTTTGTGTGTTTTATTTTGGAGGTTTTTGGGTGTTTTTTTTTTTGTGTGTGTGTGTGGTTTTTTTTTTTTTTTTTTTTTTTTTTTGAGAGAGAGAGAGAGAGACAGTGAAAAGGAAGGAGGGAGAGAGACGTTGGTTGCTTCCCACATACGTGGACCTGGAGCTGGAAGCAAACTCGCCATCCTTAGCTAACCTGCACCCCTTCCATGAGTGGACGCTCTAACCACTCACTGAGCTACAGCCAGGGCGGGTTTACACGTTTTTAAAAGCTCCCAATATATACTGTCAAACTGATTTTCAGAAAGATTATCAAATTATACCGGGGGAGTGGAGGGAGACATTACTGGATTTGTTAGACAATGTGACAGCAATTCTCCTTTTTCTTTAAATAACAAGGAGGAACAGCTGTGTATTATTGCACTAATCATTATATGCTCTCTCTAGTCTAACAGTACTCAGGCAATGGCGGCTGCCAATACAAGTGCTACAGAGTATGGAGAATACAGACGCACGTGTGCAATGGAGCTCAGGAGACCCTCCTGTAATGGAGTTTGGATGCTCACTGGATGTGGGGGGGGTTGAGGGGATGAGGAGCAGAGGTCAGAGAAGGGGAGGGAGTGGGAATGCCGCCAGGAGAGGGGAGTCACGCAGGGGGCAGCGGAGCAGCACCCAGCCGCTCCCTCACACGGGAAGGACTGCAGAGTGAGGGCAGCACGGAAGCAAACCCTTGGCCACCTGATGATGATGATGTCCTTTGGGTTAACCAGAGATGTCGGGGGAAACTTCTGTAATATGGGGGCCAGAAATACAAACAGCTGCTGGCTGGCCTTCTCCTACACAAACCAGTGTTCCTGAAAACAGCGGGAAAGTTTCTCCCTGCACACTGTTCCTGAGCTATCACAGGAGAACACACAGCAACTCTTTGAGGAGTGATGGAATAGATGTGCACGTGGAAGACGGAATGGCTGGATAGATCGCTGGACACATCTGCTGTCCATCTAAGAACTAGCACCGTTCATTCCAAACATTTACTGCATATCAGTTCTGTCAATCACTTCATTAAACATTTCATAACTGCTCTTTTGACTTTTTACGTTTTCATCTTTTTCTTTTTCTTTTCTAGAAACAGACAAACATTCTCAGTTGTTAAAAAGGGACTGAGAGGAAGAGGTCCATATATTGGCATTTCCCTTTTTCTCTCTGGCAGCAGATAAAGCTAAAGATACTTTCCCTCATGCAATTTAAAAACCAAATGTCACCCCTAACTTTAAAACTTTAAATGGATCTCCTTGCCTGTCTTATGCAATAAAATTCAAATTACGTTACCTGCTCTTTTATATTCTTTTTACAATCTGACATATCATGATTTTTTCCTTTCATTCTTTTGTGTATATGAAACATTTTTGTGTGGAAAACATATAACAAAAATGTTCATTTTAACACATTTTAAATGTGCAATCCAGTGGCATTAATTGCATTCACAATGTTGTCCATTAATCATTACTATTGATTAACAAAACTTTATTACTCCAAAACAAATTCTATAATCAGTAAATTCCTATTCCCCCAGAACCTGATAGCCAATAACCTACTTTCTATCTCTATGAATTTGCCTCTTCTAGGTATTTTATATAAGTGAAATCTTATAATATTTGCCCTATTGTGGCTCATTTCACTTAGCATAATTTTTGCAAGATTCATCCATGTTGTATCAGCATTTCATTCTTTTTTATGGCTGGGTAATATTCTGTCATTTGTATATATCCCACCTATTGTTTACACACTTATCTGTGATGGACAATAGTTTGTTTTTCCTCCCATTTTGGGGCTATTCCGAATAACCTACCATGCACATCAGTGTAAAAGGATGTGTTTTAGATGTCGTCAGTTCTTTCGTGCATATACCCAGAAGTGCAAATGCTGGTTTAAGTAGTGATTCAGAATATTAATTTTTATTATAAAATGTCAGGTTTATTTAGTTAATTTTATATGATTTCCTGCTATTTAGTAGAAAATACCACAATGATGGTGTTTTCCAAACTTGGGCCCCAATCTATTAATAAGTTATGAAATAAATTAGTTTGCTATGATCAGCATTTTAAAAAAGGAAATAGAAAAGCAAGAATGCATTGCACTACTTAAGGGCATTCTTTTGTGAATCTTTTATTTCACTCGTGTCTGTGCTGTAAAATCTGTCTTATTGTGAGATGCAATCAGAAAAAAAAATGAGTTGAAGAGTGTGATTTGGAATTAGACAGAACTTAGTGTGAGGAGACTCTTGGGGCTTGCTTTTTTTTTTTTTTTTTTTTTTTTTACCAGTTACCTAACTTCTTTTGTGGCTCAATCCCTTCATCAAAAAAAGGGAAAGTACTAATATATCCTTGTTTTGCCCATGTGTGAAAATATGAGAGATTACTTAGGTAGAGTGCCTGAAATATAGGCAATGATTAACATACATAATTACTCCCAAGTCTGCTTAACAATAATGCTCTCCCGGTAAAAACACTTCATTCCCTAGAAGGAAGACAGTGTGTACTGACGACCAGACACATTGCTCAGGCTGTTTCTGCACTATGGTTTTGTAAGGTGACTCAGACACCTAGCTCTCTCCCCTTCTTATTCTCACATTGTACTTATAACCATCTTATGGATTTGGCACTTTATTATACATCTGCATATGTTTCCTACTTATTTCGCAGTTCGGCTAATGTTACAAACTTTCAAATACCTTCTAGCGTTTAAAACAGGGTGCTGGTTGAAATTCTAGAGAGTTTGGCCTGCAGCACACCTTTTGCAAAGAACCACTTCTACAAGGGGAAGCAGACATAATCCTGATTCCACCGGCATTTCTCACTCCATCTGCTCCGCGCTAACCATGCCAGGGAAGCACCAGGTCATGTTTCTGGGCAGCACAAGTGGCGGGTGTGCACAGAGAATCCACTTTACCGGAGGACAGTGGGAAATTAGATTCTAACCCCCCTCCCCGCCCACTCCCGCGCCCATCGGGCAGGGTGCGTAGATAATCCCCGAGGACCAGGGCCCAGAAGCCTGCGGCTGCTGAGCCCCGGAGCCCGGCGGCACGCACGCTCTCCGCCTGAGAGCCCTTCTCCCAGATGGAGCCTCGCGGCTCCCAGACGCGCGCCGAGCGGATCGATACCGGGCGGCAGACGCCCCCGCCGGCCAGTGTGGGCCCGGCCCGCCGCCCGCCCCGGGGGACTTAACCCACTCCCGGCGCACGCCCCCGGGCCGCCGCCCAGCCCCGCCCCTCCCTCTCCGCTCGCTCCGCAGGGGGAGGGGGCTTTTCCATCTCTCCCACCAGGTCCCAGCAGGTCCCAGCAGGTCCCAGGGCCGGAGCCGCGGCGGGAGGCGCCGGTAGGTGCCCCCAGCGGGGCTCCGGGTACCGTCCCCGGAGGCGGCGGCGGTGGGAAGCTCAGAGCGCGCTCACCCCGGGGTGTGGGGGTTTGGGGGGATGCCTCGGGGTGTGTGTGTGTGTGTGTGTGTGTGTGTGTGTGTGTGTGATGCTTCGGGGTGTGGGGTTTGGGGGGATGCCTCGGGGTGTGTGTGTGTGTGTGGGGGGGGAATGCCTCGGGATATGGGGTTTCGGGGCGGGGGATGCCTCGGGGTGTCGGGTTTGGGGGGATGCCTTGGGGTGTGTGCGCGCGCGTGTGTGTGTGTGTGTGTGTGGGAATGCCTCGGGATATGGGGTTTCGGGGCGGGGGATGCCTCGGGCAGCCCCCAGGCCGGCCGGGGCCAGAGGCGCGCAGGTCCCGGGGAGGCGCTCAGGGGCGCGTTCGCCGCCCGCCGGGACCCCGAGAGCCCGGCTCCGCGGAAGCCCCGCCCCCGAGCCCGCTCCCACTCCTGATTGGCCCGCGCGGCCCCGGCGCCGGCGGAGCCGGGCCTGAGTCTCAGCTATAAAGGCCGCGCAGGCATGCCCGCCGCCACGAAGCTCCCCGCTCAGCCCCGGAGCGCCCCGTTCCTCCCGGCCCCCCGCGCCGCCATGCCGCGGGGCTTCCTGGTGAAGCGAACCAAGCGGACCGGAGGCGCGTACCGGGCGCGCCTGGCCCAGCGGGGGCTCCCCGCGCCAGAGCCCCAGGGGGCGCCGCCCTGCGCCCAGGAGGCTTCCGGGGCTCCCGGGCCGGATGCGGAGCCGGCGGCACCCTCCAGCCGGGAGCCCGGGAAGGGGCTGGAGGAGGCGGCGGCGGCCCGGGAACTGTCGGGTTCGCCTTGCCGGGCATCTGGGGTGAGCCCGGGGGCGGGCGGGCGGGAAGGTACCGCGTGGAGGGCGGATGGCAGGGCGAGCCCCCGGCCCAGCACCAGCCCTGCCAAGCCGGTGGGCGTGGAGCTGCGCCGGGCGTTCCTGGAGCGCTGCCTCCGCTCGCCCGCCTCCGCCGAGTCCTTCCCCGGGGGCGCCGCCGCCGTGGCCGCTTTCTCCTGCGCCCTGGCGCCGGCCGCCGCGCCGACCTCGGGGGAACCGTTCCAGCTGCCGCTCCGGGCGCCGTTCCCGGAGCCCGCGCTGCACCCGGACCCCGCGCCGCTCCCGGCCGCCCTGCACGGCCCGAAGCGTCCCGCCCCCGGCGAACGCGGCCGCGCCAAGGCGCCTCCGGGCTGCGCGCCCGGCCCCGCGGCCGCGGGAGCCAAGAAGCCCAAGGCCATGAGGAAGTTGAGCTTCGCGGACGAAGTGACCACGTCGCCCGTCCTGGGCCTGAAGATCAAGGAGGAGGAGCCCGGGGCCCCGGCCCGCGGCCCGGGGGGCAGCCGCACGCCGCTGGGGGAGTTCATCTGCCAGCTGTGCAAGGAGCAGTACGCGGACCCCTTCGCGCTGGCCCAGCACCGCTGCTCCCGCATCGTGCGCGTGGAGTACCGCTGCCCCGAGTGCGACAAGGTCTTCAGCTGCCCGGCCAACCTCGCCTCCCACCGCCGCTGGCACAAGCCGCGTCCCGCGGTGGCCGCCGCCGCCGCCGCCGCCGCCTCGATGGACCGGAAGCTGCCTCCCCCGGCCTCCCCTGGCCCCGCGGTCGTGGCCGCTTTCCTGGCGGAGGGCAAGGAGAACAGCCGCGCGGAGCAGGCGGGGAATCAGCACCTGCAGCCGAGGGACAGCTCCCGCGTGGAGCCGCGCCCGGACGGCGCCCCGCCGCAGGGCCTCCCGGCGCTGTCCGCCCTCGAGGCGCCGCTGCCTCGGGTCCCCTACGCCGAAGGGGTATTGGGGCGTCGGCTGCCCGGGCCGGGCAGTGCCGCTGGTGTCGGGGGACCCGAGATCTTCGTGTGCCCCTATTGCCACAAAAAGTTCCGCCGCCAAGCCTACCTGCGCAAGCACCTGGGCACTCACGAGGCGGGTGCGGCCCGCGCGCTGGCCCCGGGCTTTGGCTCCGAACGCGGGGTCCCGCTGGCCTTCACCTGCCCGCTGTGCGGGGCGCACTTCCCGTCCGCGGACATCAGGGACAAGCACCGGCTGTGGCACGCGGTCCGGGAGGAGTTGCTTCTGCCAGCTTTGGCCGGCGCTGCCCCGGAAGCCCCGAGCCCGGGAGGGCCGTCCGACGGGAGTGCCCAGCAGATTTTCTCGTGCAAGCACTGCCCGTCCACGTTCTTCAGCTCCCCGGGGCTGACGCGGCACATCAACAAGTGCCACCCCTCCGAGAGTCGGCAGGTGCTGCTGCTGCAGATGCCGCTGCGGCCCGGCTGTTGAGGGCCTGTAGACCGGAGACTGGAGACCGGGTAGTTTGCGAGGTTGGCCCCCCGAGGAAAGATCATGGGAATTTCTGTAGGGCTCTCTTCAACTTGCAAGTTTACCTCATTTCCTTCCTCTATGTTCTCTCCTAGAAGTCTCAGTAGTCAATGTTCTGACATAGGAGCGACAGCAAAATGTAAAATCCCTTTCCAGAGCAGGTTATGGGTATGGATGGCATAAACATTCAAGGCCAACGATTGACAGCTTTAAATCCCTCTTTCCTCATGAAAAAGGACCCCCCCCCCTCACCTTCCAAACTCTGAAGGTCCAATGAATCCCATATGACTTGTAATTCCTATGTTCAGTCGCAGTGAATACGTGCATGTCTCAATGTCTACAGTCATTTCCCCCGCCCTGTTATCGCAGGCACCTATTTAGGTTGTTTCAATAGGGTCAGATATCTTGCACTGTATATTCTGTGAATTAAAAGTTGTGACTGGTGCCAAACTGATGGGGTGGGGGAGATTTAAGACCTGTGTCTGTAGATAGAAAATAGGATATTTGTGCTTTGGGAGATGCGGGGCTCTCCCTGTAAGCTTTCCTTTTCTCAGTGTTAGCCCACTTTTAAGTTAGTGTTTGGAGGTGGGGAGTGAGCTACTTTAAAGGAAGCAGCTGACATATCCCCAAGATGCTCACCTTTAGCTATTTTGTGTGTAGTAAGCAGGAAGAGATACTTTAAACCTTAAAAAAAAAAAAAAAAGCTTTTTGGAAATATAGAACTCATTTTCTGAAGTTTAACTGTTTTAGTAGGGTTTCATCCAAATTGTTTGATGCTCCCGTTGTGAACCTTGCACTGTGTATTATAAATTAAACTATGTTCAGTTAAAGGAAGATGTTAATACCTATAATCCACAGTGGAGCTGAATGGCAAATCATTCCGTATCCAGTATTTTCTTTTCAGCAATCTGTCTTACAATTTTTATGTAAACCATATCTGGTGTACATTCTGTACCCATGTCCTAAGAGCAGAGTTTAGGACATCAGCGGAGAACTGCTTGACAGACCGCCCGTTTGTAAGACGCTCACCACCAAATAAATGTACATAGCCGGTGCTTTGTGTTTCGTGTTTGTCTTACGAATTCCATTAAACACAGCCTATTTTTCAAAGCTACATCTCCTCAAAGCCGGTATCCTATTTTATAATTTTAGTGACCCACTTAGATTACAGCCAGGAGAAACTCTATTTTGTAAATGAATGTAATGGTGAGGAAATGCAATGGAAAAATTTCTTTTAAAGTACTGCTGTGCAGATAGAGCTCCAAAAGGCAAAGAATATGCACTATTCTTTAAGGACACTTTACCTCCCCCAAATATCAACAGAAAATATATTTAAAATTTTAAAGAAATCTAGTTAAGTGTTATTTGAAAATGAAAACAATCATGTTAATTGTGCTAATTAACTATTTCAAGTTGGTATTTTCATTCCATTCTGTTACATATCATCAAACCATTAGCTGTTCATTAAAAAAATTTGAAAGCACTGTAGAAATGTGTAAGCAGTTACTTTGACTTTCCACTTTATAATTCTTCACCTAGGTTGTGGGAAACTGTATTGTTCAATCTTGTTTCAAGGGACATTTGCTTATTGTCTTTCGTAGGAATTTTAGTTTATTTTTTACATTGTTTCATAGGAATTTTTTATTTATAAGAAAGTAAAAACTTAAGTGCACAGGTTTTAGAAACCATAAAGTTTTATTCCTGAATGTATACTATAAGCCAAGTGAACTTAAGAATTCAAAAAAACATGAGGCTGAGATAAATCGATGCTTTAACCAAGTGCACTGGGTAAAGCTTCTGGCCAGCCCTTTTGAAGGAGTAAAATTTTCTGCATTTTTAATGACTGTGGTAGGATCCCTGTGAAATAAGTCAGGGGTGTATCCTGAAAATTCAAGCCAATTTTTTATGATTAAGATAATCTAGATTTATGCTTCACATCACTCCATTAATCATATAGCCCTGATTATTAAATCTGAAAATACATAAAAGACAAAAACACTAATGGACATAAGTGATATTTTTATTATATTACTAAATACTATATATTTTTTTCACTGTTACAAATTTGTAGATACTACATGAAAGATGATACATAATTTATATTTTATAGTTTGTTGTATGATGTATTTACACATGCAGTTAGTACCGATGCCATGCTACATTTCCTTAGGAGATGCCCATTTAAAACAAAATATGAGCAAAATGTGAGCAGCTTATCTACTGTAGGGAAACACTTCTGGAGAGTGGAATGTATACCAACCTGCACTTGCAAGTTCAGTATTAACAATGTTAGATTTAATTTGGACTCCTGGGTCATGTTACTTTTAAAAAAATATACATAATTTAACACATTTATATCAGAAAAGTTTTTTCCTTCTTTCCTTTTTTCCTCCCAAGTTCCCCTCTTTATGGTATTTAGGAAGGAACACAGATACACCAGGATCCACCAGCCAATAATAAAGGGCCACAATCTCAAAAAAAGGGGGGGGGGGCATTTAACAGTGATAACATTTCAAAAGCAAAACATTAGAAAAATATTGAAGCTAAACTTAAATCAAAGTTAGCACAGTGATTTTTCTGGTTATTGGATAAGCCATGGTGTCACCACACAGCCAAGAAACGAGGCATTGCTTTGGGAAGAAAAAGTTAATGCTAAAATTATTTCAGTTAGAATTTGAGATGCTAAAAGGCCATTTATTTTAATGTTTTATTTTCATAACATAAATAATCCATACACGTCTGTATATTAACAGATTTGCAACTTTTGCTATAACTTTACAAATGCTTAAATTTAAAAATTTACATTTGTAAAAAAATTATATATTTACTGAGCCCATAAAGTTGCAATGGGGCATGATAAATAAAATAATGAGAACCAATTCTATTTTGGTTCAAAAGTAATCATGAAATTAAAAGTAAAACTTCTTAGACATAATTATCTAGAAAGGTAAAGGGTATTGAATGCCCCTCTCCCCCAAGGCAGTTTAGAGTGTAGGGGGGAAAAACCAACTGAATAAACAACTCACATCTAAAATATTAAGTTACAAATTATTTAAATCCAGTGTTCTTTTTACAATAAATGTTCAGGAAGGAACATGCATGCTGTGGCAAACATAAGAGCCGGAAGGGTTAACACTATGTTCATGCTGAGGCGGCTACTGCTGATCTCTGCTGGGCTGCTCGTCTCCTTAGGATTTATTGGCTGAGCCAGAGGACCGACGCAGCTTCATGGACATACGGCTTTTGCTAGTTCGAGGAGACATTGGAGAGGCCAGGTCAGCCCCATCTACCTGCGTTGCTGTGGGAGTTTCACTGGGTAGAACCTCTGGGTAGGAGCCTGTGGGGAAAAGCAAGAGCTTTAGTACAGGTCAGGCTATCCAGCCTCTCAGCCCATATAAAACCACCTGTCGCTACTAATCTGTAGCAATGGATCCCAACCTTTAATGAGGTCTTTTGAGAGGGAAGAACGAGCCCAAAACTTGCTTGTTATAACGGTTTACTAATATTTTATTTAAAACCCAATGATCTGGTGGCTCATGCCATCATTTTAGCAAGAAAGTGCCAATCCTTATTTCCAGAGCCAGAATCAAGCAGAGAGCTCCCAGAAAGCAACGGGAAGCGAAATCTTTGGGCCAGAAAGGACAGGGATCCAAAGCAATACTAGCATGCAGGGCGGGCTTAAAGAGCAGGTAAGGACCCATTCCTATCTCTAGGGCAAAGGGTACAACCAAGAAAAGGGCCTTCACTGCCTAAACTTGAAAACAAGCAATCAGTTCCAAAAGGAAGTCAGCACGATGAGACCATTGTATATGCGAGGTATTAAAATATGTTTTCAAGGAGGAGGAAGAGGACAAGAATTCATATTCGAAAGTCAATTAAAAAGACAAGCGGACCCCTCAAAATGTCTCCATTTAAAAGAGATAAGCAATACTTTCTTTTCCTTAATGTAAAGTTTTGCAATTATATTATCCAGTCCTAGGAAACAGGCAACCAGTTTTTTTAGAAGATATAAAAATTTAAAAGCAAAGTTAAGTTCAAATTAGAAAGTTCTTTGTATCATTTATAAAGCAGTTCTTCACTTCTGTATTTTATTTCCATGAATTGATTCTTTAATATACAGCAACTCTACAGAACTTTGCTCATTATAGGCTCTCAAATATTTTCTGAATAAAAAAAAAAATTAAAAATAAAAGCCCAGTTGGGTGTGCATAGGAGGCAGCTGATCAATGTTTTTAACTCTCTCTCTCTCTCCCTTCCTCCATGTAAAAAAATCAATAAAATGTTAAAAATATATATATTTAGCTAAAACCGGTTTGGCTCAGTGGATAGAGCGTCGGCCTGCGGACTGAAGGGTCCCGGGTTCAATTCCGGTCAAGAGCATGTACATTGGTTGCGGGTGCATCCCCAGTAGGGGGTGTGCAAGAGGCAGCTGATCGATGATTCTCTCTCATCGATATTTCTAACTCTCCATCCCTCTCTCTTCCTCTCTGTAAAAAATCAATAAAAATATATTTTAAAAAATACATATATTTAAAAATAAAAAAACCTTCAAAAAAACAAAGGAAATCAGCAAAGATAACAGAACAATAAAATTCAAAAAGTTCTGTATATTTTAAAGCACTTTAATCCAGATTTCTGGGCTCTGTATACATGGAAATTTTCTTTATAGGTGTCACAAACGGACAGATACACACCATATAGGTTGCAGGCTTAAATTTATACATCTTCTTACTCTTTAGGGAAAGCTTTGGCATATTTGTTAGCCAGGTAGCACCTCATTAACACTTTAAGCTTGGATATAATTATACTAGAACTTCCATATAGTAAAACATTTGTGCTTAAATTAATGAATATTTGTAAGGAAACGTAAGACCATTCAATAGGGATACTGGTCCTACTGAGATGCATCCCTTTGATTAAGAATGTGTCTTTGTAGGTCACTTCAAAATGTTTTAAAGGCCAAATGTTCTCATTATACTTATGAACAAACATACATTGTCAGAGAAAAAAATTTTATTACTCATAATCCAGGTCAACTGCCCTGCTTTTCAAAGCAACTTCTTCAATATTATTTTTTTTCTAACTGAAATGAGGTTGGCTTTCAAAATACAAGGAGAAGGAATATATATATATTTCTGTTCACTTTTACTCATCCTGAAGATCTGAACTGGTTCATCCTGGAAAACCTCAGGGAGAATATGAACCCATGGCCCTTTTTAGGAAAGCACTGCAGATGGACGGCAGAAGGAAGGTGAAGAGCAGTGGCTCATGCTTTTCTGGAAATGCATATTATGCCCGCCAATCAGGACAGGCTTTCCCATGGCTATTTACCTTGAGATGGCCAATGTTTTCTAGCGGAGGTTTTGGGAGGAAGAGAACTATCACTGCATTTCTTTCTTTGTTGTAAATGAAGAAATGGAGTAGCGAGCAGAAGTGAGAAAACAAAAGAGAAGATAGATAACAGACATGAGAGACACTGCAGAATTTTACAGGTGTTAACCAAGGAGCAGAGAAGGGAGTAACCAAGTTTTTAATATGAAACACAACTGGTCATGCAATGTGTTAGAGTGATGATGTATCACATGAATGCTTTGTAAATTCAAATGTTATACTTACCAACTAACAAAACAAGTTCAAATAGGAAAAAAGGAAAGAAAAAAATTTTCTGTGAGAGATGCTATAAACATCTATCTTTCAAAGTGTTCACTGTACTGGGGGTATGTTATCCTGATCACTCAGCATAGAATCCTTAGAGCTATACTTACTGCCCCACATGTTAGCTATAGCTGCTGCATTGATTAAGTTAAAATGAAATATAGAAATTTGGCTTCTCAGTGAACTTGCCACATGTTAAGTATTCAGCAGCCACACATGGTTAGTGGCAAGCATACTTGACAGTGCATTCAGAATATTTTCATCATCACAGAAAGTTTTATTGGAGAACACCGCTTTAGGAGTATGCCAAATTCAAAGAATATTTTCCTCAAAAGGAGGAATTCCCATGTCTCCCTTACAGCCGGTAGCATGAAATTTCCCCTTCAGTAAACCGAGTCAAACTGCTTCTTACTGTGCGTAGACTATAGCTATGAGTACCTCTTCACATTTTAGCCAACAGTTATGGTATATACTCAGCATACTCAAACTCTACAAATAATTTAGGATAGACAGATCTCAACTTTATTTATTTTTATTAAAAGCATTTTTATTTATTAGAGAGAAACCAATTTGTTGTTCCACTTACTTACGCATTCATTGGTTGAATTTGTATATTCCCTAACCAGAGAATGAAACTGCAACTGGCATTCTGGGACAATGTTTTAACCAACTGAGCTCCCTAGCCGGGGCTAGACCTCAGTGTTAGATGTAAAGAATTCAGCGATTTCATTTCACATCCTATTCTGCCTAAGTACTGATTTATATCACCTGAGTCATAAAGAATGTTAATTTATTTCTATTATTAATATATCCTCAAGTATAAAGTTTAAAAAGTATCTATGGACTCCTACATTTATGCATACTGTATCTGTTACTAACACTGGTACAGTACTCACACAGACTGTGTCTATATCTTAAAGATATAATAAATTGACTCACATATTGTGCATAGATTACAATAAACTATTATTTCAAATACATGTAACATGATGAATATGACTGTCTGGATCTATACAGATTATATATAGGAACTTAATGACTAATTTATTGTGGCTTTGTTTGTACTGCTTACTAATAGGCATGACCAGTTTAAACTGCTAAAGTTATAGGGTAAACATAGCCTTTAAAAATATTGTGACTTTGAAAGAATTCCAATTAATATCTACTAAAGTAAGAGGCAATGTGATCTGTTAGAAAGCATGGGCATGGGTATTGTTAAAGGCCAAATGTCATGTTATTAGCTTTTGGATCTTGGGCAAACTAACACCAGACAGCTTTCTTATTTGTAAAATGGAGACAATACTAGTTATTTTGCCAAGTTGTGAGAGATTAATGACAACATATGCAAAGATGCTGGCATAGAGCAGGTATCCAATAAGTGTGGCCCTATAATAAGATTATTAAACACATAAGAGTAAAATTAATAGACTTTAAATCAGAACAGGTGAGGATTAGAAAAGAAGAAATAGAAATTAGAAATATTTTTGAAGAAAATGACCACTTATAAAATATAATTGGTGAAATGTGGAGAACACAGCATATCAGAAAGTTTAGTTTTGGGGAAATTAAATAATTTATCTACTCTTATGCTAATATTTCTATACTATATAACCTTATATTAAAGGACGCAGATTACCTAAATAATCTTACGGCATTAATTTGTTAAAGGAGGTGATAAGTGATTAGCATGTATTTACCACTGAAAGTCATAAAGGAAATAACACACTTAAAAAAAAATGGCACAGAAATATAGGTAAAGTGGTTTCATTTTAAGATATTTAAGAATTACCATTATTACAACTTAGAACATAATAGTTTAAGCTTGTCATATTTTATCTCCTTACAATTGGGAAAACTGGGTTTAAGATATATATATATATTTTTTTGAGATCATGCAGATAATAAACAGCAGAACTAGGGTTTAACCCAGATCAGTCTGATTCCAAAGTCCATACTTCTCCATGGCAACCTTAAAACTATTTTTAAAAAAGAAGACGGTCTTTCAATGAGTGGTAAGGCAGAGCCTTAAAAATAAAAATATTTTATAATTTCTAATTTGTAATGTGAATTGGGCATTTCTCTCTTGACACGTGATTGGGCATTTTCTCTCTTTCCTCTTTATTTCAACAACAAGAAGGGGTTGAAAATATTTACATAATATGGGTAATTATAATAGTTAGGATCATAGACTCTAAAGTCATAGTCTGGCTTTAACAAGTACCAGGTGATTCTGGATAAGCAAAAAGAAAAATTTTGTAAGCAAACTAAAAAAAGAAAACCTCATAGAATTGCCATAAAGATTAAATGAGAGAATGCATGTATACTACTTAACACAGCCATTGCTCAATTATTATTTTACTATTATCATTACAAAATTTTTACATTTTACTATTATCATTACAAAAATAAATCATTACTTTGAATGAATGTTCTAAGTGGAAATTGAACATAGTAATTACTGTCACAAAAGGTTAATGGCTAAGAGACAACCAAGATGGAGGCATAGGTAAACACCTGTACTTGCTGCCTCTCACAACCACATCAAAACTCCAACTAAAAGACAAAACAAATATCATCCAGAACCAAGGGAAGCCTGGTGGAGTGGAAGTTCTACAACTAGAAGGAAAGAAACTGAGAGGAGGTGCAGAGGCGCAAAAGTGCAGAAGTACAGTGAAATGGGCTGGCAACTGAGTACACTGTTGTTTATTTTCAATCGGGAGGAAGATTCAAGCTCTGAGCTCCAGTTCTGGGCCAGACTCTGGGACCCAGACTAATTCAGGGAGAAACTGGATGTCTGGCATTGGGGCAGGAATGTGAGGACGGCTTTCTCTCAGAGGTGCTCCCAGTGATCATTGCTCTTGCATAGGGGCGCAGGACACAGAGACCCGGTGACCTCTCTGGAGAAGGGCTGGCTGGCAGCCATTGCTGCTTGCTCCACCAGGTGATTCCCTGAGGCCCTGCCCCACCCAATTTACAACCCCTCCCAAGCTGTGCGCAGAGGCTTTTGCATATGAATGCCCTGTCCCTCTTGCAAACTAAAACCTAACAAACTGCAGCTGGGTCGGAGAACTCCAAAGTGTCCAAAAGAAAGCCTCAGATCCTGCAGTGGCAGCCCGCATTGCTTCACATCTGGCCTCATCTGGGCACTTCCAAACCCCAAAGAGGAGGAATCTGTAGATCTCTCTGTAGTTCCTGCTGGGTGGCCCAGGCAGTGGCTGACTTTGCACCTCCTTGGAGATCCAAGAGCCAATGTACCCAGTGGTCAGTGTGAGAACATACAAGATTATAACCATTCACATCCATAAGCAACACACTCAGGGGGCAGACTCAGTGAGCACCAAAGCTCCACTGAAGCAAGTCCTGCCCCATAAAGGTGTCTCCTGCACACAAGTTCTCCCATTGTAGACACAGCTGGTCCTCACAGCCAATTGGCCTGGAACTCAACTCCTCCCAGTGATACCAATAGCAATCAAGGCTTAAATACAACAAGACTGTGCACACAGCCCACAAAGGGGTGCACCAAGAGTGTGAACCTCAGGTAATTGGGGAGGCTGAGCCACTGGGCCCTATAGGAAGGCCACTCTATCAACACATGGAAGCAGCCAAAATGTGGAGGCAAAGAAACATGTTACAAATGAAAGAAATGGAGGAAAGCAAACTACTGGATATAGAGTTCAACCATGGTTATAAGGTTACTCAAGAATCTTCTAGAAACTTCTGAGAAATTTAGAGAGAACCTCAAGGATATAAAAAAGGACCAATCAGAAATTAAGCATACACTGACTGAAATAAAGAATAATATACAGAGATCCAACAGCAGACTAGAGCAGTGTTTCCCAACCTTCTCTCATGATGAGAATCACCTGGTGGAGTTGTTAAAACACAGATTCCTGAATCCCAACTAAGAAGTGCTAAACTAGAATTTTTGAGAACATATAGGTAAAATTGCATACCTAACTTAGTGCTCTGTATATAAAATCTGTCTTAGAGCACTAGTTAAGTATACAATTTTACCTATATGTTCCCCAAAACTCTAGTTTAGCACTTCTTAGTTGGGATTCAGGAATCTGTGTTTTAACAACTCCACCAGGTGATTCTCATCATGAGAGAAGGTTGGGAAACACTGGACTAGAGGATCCCAAGAATCAAGGCAAAGATTTGAAGTATGAAGAAGCAAAAAATACCTAACCAAAAAAGAAAAAAAAAAATTCAAATATATGAAGATAGTGTAAGGAGCCCCTGAGACAACTTCAAGTGTACAACATTTGAATTATGAGTGTGCCAGAATAAGAGAGAAAGATACTGAAAACCTCTTTGAAGAAATGATGACTGAAAACTTCCCCCACCTGGTGAAATAAATAGACTTACAAGTCCAGGAACCACAGAGAACCCCAAACAAAAAGAATCCATAGAGGACCACACCAAGACAGATCATAATTAAAATGCCAAGGGTTAAAGACAAAGAGAAAAACAGTTACTCACAAGGGAGTACCCATATGACTATCAGCTGATTTCTCAACAGAAACTATGCAGGTTATAAGGTAGTGGCAAGAAATATTCAAAGTGATGAATAGCAAGAACCTATAACCAAGCTTACTCTACATAGCAAAGCTATCATTCAGAATTGAAAGTCAGATAAAGAACTTCACAGACAAAAAAAAGCTAAAGGAGTTCATCACCACCAAACTAGTATTATATGAAATGCTGAAGGGTATTTTATTTATTTTTATTTATTTTTATT